ATAGAAGAAGAATTGGTGCCTTTGAGTTGTGGTGTTGGAGAAGAGTCTTTAACATACCAAGAAAATAAATAAGTCTGTCTTGGAGAGGGTGAAACCATGTTTCTCCTGGGAGGCTAGGATTTTAAAACTCTTATCTTAACATTCATTGAGTACCTGGCCAGGAGGGACTTGGAGAAGGACAGCATGCTTGGAAGGGTTGGAGGGACAGTGCGGGAGAGGAAAACCCCACATGAGATGGCTTGATACAGTAACTGGGGTAATGGGGGAACGCGTTTTGGAGTCAGTGAGACTGGCTCAGGATAAGCCAGTCTTTAGAGCTGTTGTACAGAGGGTCGCTATGAATCACAAGCAACTTGACAGCACATAACAGCAACATGTGGTTTCTGAGGCTGAACATTTGTAAAAGAGCAGCCTGCTTTTTTTGTCTTCCTTAGAACAACTGATAGATTTAAACTGCTGGCCTTTCATTTAACAGCCCAACATGTTATGCAGTCCACCACCAGAGCTCCTTACTCTGGAACGTAAAAAGGGTTATTTGGATTATTTAACTCTAGTTCAAACTGATGATGATTAAGTAATAATGATGTTGGCTTGAGGACTAAGGTGTGTCTGATTCAGACCGTAGCCTTTCTGATTATTTGCTATGCATCTGAGAGCTGGACAGTGAATAAAGGATAACAGGGAAGAAATTGACGCCTTTGAGCTGTGGTGTTGGAGAAGAGCACTGTACCTCCCACGGATAACCAAGAGAACAAACAGGTCTTGGAGAGGGTGCAGGCAGAGTGCGCTTTGGAGGCAAGAATGATGAGGATTTGTATCACATACTTTGGGCATATTGCTAGGAGGGGATATCCTATGGAGAAAGACATGATGCTTAGAAGGGTGGAGGGTCGGCGAAGGAGAGAAAGACCATCAACTAGGTGGATTGACATGGTGACTGCTGCAATGGGTTCTTGTGTGTCAGGAAGTGTGAGGATGGCACAGGAGAGAACAGCGTTCAGATCTTTTGTTCATAGGGTCGCTGTGAGTTGTACTTGACTCAGTGACACCTAACAACAACAGAGTTGAAACTGATGCTAAAAACAATCAAATCAAATCCAGAAGAACCAAGGTTTAACCTCAAGTGTATCCCATCAGAATTTCAAGACCATTTCAGGATCAAGTTTGAGCCCTTGCGCACTAATGAGCTGTGGGAGGATATCAAGAATACCATTTATGAAGAATGCAACAAGTCACGACAAGGAAATCAAAGCTATCAAATGGGGAAAGGATAACCTCTTCAACAAATGCTGCTGGCAAAACTGGACTGCCACCTGCAGAAAGCTGAAAGAGGATCCACCTCTCACACCATACCCAAAAATCAACTCAAGGTGGATCAGAGGCATGGGAGTAAAGCACAAAACCATAGTGTTCATAAGAGACAAACTGGGATCAAGCTTAGAAGCACTAGTCCAAGATATAAAGAGATTGTCAAATATAACCAGAAATAACACAATCCGAAAAGTATAAAATTGATGCATGGGACCTTCTAAAAATTAAATCCATGTGTGCATCAAAAACTTTTTCCAACAGGGTGAAAAGAAAACCTACGGACTGGGATCAAACATTTGGTAATACCATCTCAGACAAGAGTCTTATTACAAAAGTTTACAGAATATCCCCGGGCCTCCACAAGAAAAAAAGACTGATAACCCAGTTACAAAATGGGCAAAAGACATGAAAAGAAGTTTCACAGAAGAAGATAATCAAATGGCAAACAGACATATGAAGAAATTGCTCCAAATCACTGGCAAAAAGAGAGATGCAAGGTACCATCTCACTCCAGTAACAGTGGCAAAGTTTAACAAAGGCAGCAAATAATAAATGTTGGAGAGGATGTTGCAAGAAAGGAACTCTTGTTACACATTTGTTGGTTGGATTGTAAAATGGTGCAACCACTCTGGAAGGCAGTTTGGCACTTCCTCAAAAAGCTGAACATAGAAATTCTGTATGGCCCAGCTATTCCACTACTTGGAATATACCCTGTGGAAATGAAAACTGAGGCACAAACTGAGATTTGTACACCAGTGTTCATAGAAGCATTATTCACCATCACAAGAACATGGAAAACAGCCCAAGTGTCCAACCACAATTGGATGGATTGAGAAATTCTGATACATTCACATGATGGAATACTATGCAGCACACAGGAGCAATGATTTTTTTTAATTGCTACCTAACTTGATAAGGACTAGAGAGCATTATGCTGAGTGAAGTAACTCAGTCCCATTAGGATAAATACTGAATAAGACTATTATTGTAGAATGAGTATGAGGATCCAAGGGGGGAGGGGTGGTTAATCATAGGGTCGCACAATTTGATGGGTAGAAGGAGGGATGGATAAAGGAAATGTGAAAAACAATGTATATTAATTTTGTAAGTAAACTAGAATAGAGTCGATGTCTTTGAGTTGTGGTGCTGGAGAAGAGTTGAATATATTGTGGACTGCCAGGAGACCAACAGGGTGAGAAGTTGCACTGCCAACCCGAAAGCAGGGGGTTTGAATCCACGGAGCTTCTCCAAGGAAAAAAGAAAGTCTCCTCTTCATGCAGTTTACAGCCTCTGAAAACCTGTTGCAGGGTCAATTATACATCGGTTGTGACTCAGTAGCAATGAGTTGTTGCTTTTGGGAGTTTAACTTCTAATAAGAAAGTTAAAAGTAGAAAGATAAACCTGTCTTTTCTTATCTTTTTCTTCATGATATGAGATGTCATCCAGGAAAGGAAGGCAGAAAAGAGCTTTCCTTTTATTGTTGTTGTGTATTATGAAGTAGGAACCCACTAATAGCTGACCCTCTGGAAGGAATTCAGACTGCATGGCTCCTTACCGCTAAGCCACCAGTGCTCCCTAGACAAGAGAAAATCTGCTCCTTAAATCTTTCCCAAGCCAGATTTCACTCCCATCCCTGTGTGGCTACTCCAGCTAAATAAAGGTGCCATGAGAAAGGGGACACTCAGATGAAGATTTTTTTTTCCTCAGAAAAAACTTGGAATGTGATAATGTGAGAAGAAGAAAAAAGATGGTTATGATTGACTTAGACTAAGAGGTTCTCTACCCTGATTGTACATTAGAATCACTTGAGAGGAATTAAAAAGGTGTATGTAGATGTGTGGGAATCCAGAACACTTGATTGTGCTTATGCGAAACCTGTACTTGGGCCAGGAGGCAGCCATCATAACAGAGCACGGAAACACTGCATGGTTCAAAATTGGGAAGGGTGTGCGTCAAGGATGTGTCCTATCTCCGTATCTTTTCAATCTATATGCAGAACAGATTATCCAGGAGGATGCACTCTGTAAGGAGAAGTGTGGCGTCAGGTTTGGAGATAGACTCATGAACAATCTAATCTGCATTATGCAGATGACACAACCCTGCTTGCTGAAACTGAGGAGAACCTGAAGCGCTTGCTGCAGGTCAAGGACTGCAGCCTTCAATATGGATTCAAGCTCAACATCAAGAAAATGAAGATTTTCACCTCTGAGCTGATTGGCAGCATCACAATGGATGATGAAGAGATTGAGATTGTTGACAGCTTCAGTTTGCTTGGCTCGACAATCAACACTCGTGGTACCAGCAGCCAGGAAATTAAAAGACGAATTGCATTGGGAAAGTCTGCTGTCAGAAACCTCTCCAAAATACTGAAGAGTAACGATGTCAGTCTAGAGACTAAGGTGCTCCTGATCCAGGCCATGGTATTTGCAGTCACTTGCTATGCATCAGAGAGCTGGACAGTGACCAGGGATGATAGAAGGAGAGTTGATGCCTTTGAGCTTTTGTGCTGGAGAAGAGTATTGAATACACCATGGACTGCTAGGAGAACAAACAAGTTTGTCCTGGAGAGGGTGAAGCAAAGCTGCTCCTTGGAGGCAAGGATTCTGAAGCTCCATATGACATACTTTGGACATGTTGCAAGGTGGGATCAGTCCTTGGAGAGGGATGTCATGCTTGAGGGTGGAGAGACAGCACAGGAGAGGAAGACCCTTGATGAGATGGATTGGTTCAGTCACTGAGGTAATGGGGATAGGTGTATTCGAGACAATAAGATTGGTAAGGGATAGAGCAGAGTTTAGGGCTGTTGTACACAGAGTCACTATGAGTCTCAGGCAGTTCGATGACACATAAAATCTCTGGGGTTATACTCCCTAATGAGTTGCCTTGGTAACCCAGATGTGGCACCTCTGGCAGTTTTAAGTCCACCAGCAGCTCTATGAGGCAAAGTTGAACCATTTTCAGTATGATTTGCAAACCCTCCTAAAAATGCACTGGAGGATCAGCTGTGAGTCTATTCCACCTTGCTGGTAATGTATGTCTGTATGTACACATACTTACATTCATACCTGGACCTCTCTCAGATCAACTGAAATAAGGTCACGATTTTATCTTGAGAACTAGTGCCATCGTTCAAAATCCAGGTGATACCAACATCCAGGGCAGCCAGGTGTTTACACAGGAGCTTATGATAATATGTTCATGATATGTCACTATCTTTGATCCTAATAATAACGATGAGAGCCTTCATCGCGTGCCCACCTTCTTATGGTGCCTGCTGTATTCATTCCACTTCCTACCTGACATAATCTGACTGCCCCATGAGAATGTCAGCTCCCCAAGGGCAAAGGTTTTTTTGTCTTTGTACGCTGCACCAAGAACATGGCTGGCACATAGGAAACTAATAAAATGTGTTATGTTTCAAGTATGTGCACTATATCACTTAGTCCTTCCAACATCCTTTGAAGGTTATGTCCTTATCACTGTATCTGCTTCACAAAATTACAGGTCTGAGGCTCAGAGATTTAAAGTCAGTAGACCAGGAGCCATGAAGTAGCAAGTTCAAGTCCTGGCTCAGGACCAAGATTTTCTGAGCCCAGACACACACCTCTGGAAACAGGATGCCCCTTTTATGTTCTAGCCTTTCCTGGATCCTGACATCCTCCTAAAGGTCCCTTCTTTCCTTTGGACAGCTCATTACCCTGCGGGGCTCCATCCTGGAAGATGCCACACCCACAGCCACCAAGCATGGGACCGGGCGGGGCCTGCCTCTGAAGGACGCCCTAGAGTATGTCATCCCTGAGCTCAACATCCATTGCCTACGACTGGCGCTCAACACTCCCAAGGTGACAGAGCAGCTGCTGAAGCTTGATGAGCAAGGGGTGAGCCGGGCACTTGGGCTGGGAGGCTGGAGCCACACCCTGTAACCTCTACCCTGTTTGTTTTTCTGCCCGCCACATTTGATTTTACTTTTAAGTTTTGTGTTTTGTTTTGTTTGTAGATTTGTTTTTAAAATATTGGCAAGAAACAGAAACCTCCTTAAGCTAGTTTCAGTAAACAGAGTTCTGTTATCAAATTCTGGAGATGCCAAAAGCAAGAGGGAAACTGGGTATCAGGAGAGGAGGAGTCTAGAGCTGAGAAGGCCGTCATGTTCCCCCCCTCTGTCTGCCTTTGTTCTCTGCTTCTTTCTTCCCTCTTTCTAGACAGTGGCACCTTTTTCTCTGTCTGAGTGACAGACCACAGTTTCTCCTCCTTGAAGCTCCCCAAGTCACCCAGAATCTGTCATCATATAGGTCCCACTGGGCTGACTCTCTTACTCCAGAAAACCTCTGATTGCCTGTGCTTAAGTTTCTGTCTGTAGTCTCATCACCTATAACTATGAGAATCAGTGAGACACAAACTACTCCCTAAAAATATGTTAACTATAAGCTATGAAGGAACTCTAGTGGCTTAGTGGTAAGGAATTGTGTTGCCAACAAAAAGGCACATAGTTCAAATCCATCAGCTGCTCCACAGGAGAAAGATGGGCAGTTTTCTCATGTGCCTCTGAAAACCCACTTTGCTATGGGTCACGTCCAACTCTGTAGTGCACAGCAATAAGCTGTGAGCCCCTAGCGTTTCATTTTCCAGAATCACAGCCTGTCTTGAGCCACTTATTGTGGAAACCTGGCTAAAGCTGAGAGTGATATTTGCCAACTGTGTCTCTGTGCTGTGCCTTTGTGAATTGAGGAGAAAGGAGGACACTTGGCTCGGGCGCCAGTGTCCTTTTTCCTTCCTCTCCAACTGAGGGAGTGTGTTTCTGTGTGACCCCAGCAGTTCCTAGGGCTCTGCATCTCAGAAAGCCCCCGTTGTTCCATCCCTTGTTGTGTCTTTACCTGGCCTGCCATCACGAAACTGCTCTTGCTTCCACAGCTTTGCCGGAAGCACAAGGTGGGCATCCTCTACTGCAAGGCGGGCCAGAGCTCTGAGGAGGAAATGTATAACAATGAGGAGGCAGGCCCGGCCTTCGAGGAGTTTCTCTCCCTCATCGGCGAGAAGGTCTGCCTGAAGGGCTTCACCAAGTATGCCGCCCAGCTGGACGTCAAGAGTAAGTGGCAGTGCTGTCTGCTCTGAAAGGCATCACGGGGAAAGGGTCCTGGACAGAGGGGGAAGAAAAATGTGGAACGAAAGTCAAGGTCACAGAAATGACCTGGCTTTCTGGCCTAATAGAGGATGGTGGGACCCCCAAAACTATGAACCTGAGTAATTTTTTTTAACTTGGAACTGAACTCAGCCCTGTGACTCAATTTCTAGATAAATAATAGACAAATATAAGGTAAACAGGGAGGTAAGGATTTGGCACTGCCGACCCAAAGGCTGCTCTGCCAGAGAATGGTCTCCTACGTGCAGTTTACAGCCTCTGAAAACCTGCTGGACAGTCGGGTATGAGTTGGTTCTGAGGCAGCGGCAGTGAATCGGAGTGAGGAGCAGCATGAATGATAACATCAGGGAAGTGCTCTCTCATCACAACAAGCACTCATACCAGATCCAAGGGGAAGTGTTTGCTCAGGGAGGAAACTCAGAAGTCGAGAAGGATGAATGTTCAGGAGAATCACGAAGGAAGTGGGCAGAGTGCTGTTATAATGCAGGGACTGTAACTAATGCCATAAAATGAAATCTGTATGAATACTTGAATGGAAAGGCAATTTATTCTGTAAACGTTCACTTAAAAAAGAGTGGCAGTCTCCTCAGAAGAAGCTGGGAGCCACCACTGCACACTTGCCCCCTAGTGAGCAAAAGTGAAAAGGGCTGGGACTGCCACAGTGAGGACACTGGACGGTGGTGCTCTCCAGGCCTCCTGGTACGAGGCATGGATAATCCAGCCACAGGGGAAGCGATGAGGAACTCCATGATCCCCTCCCCTGTGACTCACCCAGTGACACTTCGTGAGCCCTCTGTGTATGCACCAGGTGTCCTTAGTTCTTAAAACAGCAGAAACCTGGCTGAATCTTGGTCAGTCCCACAGCAGAGACCTGGAGAGCAGAGAGGAGGACATGCCAGCGCTGCAGCCAGCGGCCTGGGTGAGGGCCATGCTCTCTCAGGAGAGCATGTACTGAGTGATGCCATTTCACAAAAGGTCTTTATAGGACAAGCCACACACACTTTTGTTTGGGCACCTATTCTTAGAGAACTCAGGGAAAATGAGGGACTGATAGATGCTCTGTTTAGGACAGTGGTTACTCCTGGAGGAGCCGGAGGATGTGCCAGGGAAATTGCGCTCTCATGGGAGTAGTGGTCTCCTTTTTAAAAGTTAGTTCTTGGTACAGAAGCACTCATTCTTGAGGATTGAAATGTTTCCTAGTAAGTAAATTCAGTGAGGGGTGAATGAGTGACTGGTGTCCCTGCTTTGCGGGAACAGGCTGTCGCTGGGTAATTGGTCAGACTGGAAGTCAGAAAAGCCCTAAGGTGGTGCCCCATTATTTGTTCTCCACCTGTCTCATCAAGTTTCAGTTTCTTCATCCAGAAAAGAAAGGCTCTGTTGAGAATACTATTAGATCAGTATTTCAGAAGATGTCTGTGGCCCTTGGCACTATTTCCATGATGTCCTTCATTGAAGGAGACAAGAACTGGCCTACCATACCAATTGCTATTTTGTGATCCTAAACGGGTGACGTTGCCTTGCTTGGCCTCAGTTTCATCCTCTGTAGCATTAAAATAATAATTTTGGTGAGGGTTCACCATGATGCTTTAATGCAGAGAGTCCTCTCTGTGCTGGGCACTGGATCCATTGGGCTTCCTAGGCCTTGAAGGGTCGTTGTGTCCACAGTGAGCTGATGAGACAGCAGGCCTTATGTAATGGGGCTGACCCATAGGACGTTTTCAGCCAATGTGAACTTCACTGATGGTGAAGACAATGATATTTAAGGGTTAAGTGACAGGATTGGGATGAACATCTCCCTTCTGGTCTTCATTACCTAATCCTGCTGTAACAGATAGCACAAGAAGATGAAGTTAGTAAACAGACTTACTGCCTTACAGTTTAGGAAGCTGGAAGTACACCTTTCGGTGCCAGCTCTAGGAGAAGGCGCACTTTCTCTGTCGGATTTGGAGGAAGGCCTTTGTTCTCTTCAGCACAATCTCCCTGGCTTGGCGATCTCCATGCAGCTGGGCCTTCCCCAGTGTATTAGAGACTCCCTCATGCAGAGACCTGAATCTAAAAGGACATACTCCACTCCTGGCCATTCTTCATTGATAGTAGGAAGGTCTCCCAACTTTTCAAAGGTTCTGTCACTTTTATCTTTTGTGAGATAACAGGCACACCCTAGGAAAACACCCGTTACAAAAGATCAGAGCTGTAATAGGATTGAAGGGGGTTGCATCCCACCCCTAATCATTTTGCAAAGTTGCGTAACAGCTCATGGGATATTGTTACATAGCTTCCACATTACATGCATATACTTTGTTGCTGTGTGCACCTGTGGAGTCAGAATCACATCACAGCTGACTTTCCTGTGGGTTTTCAGAGGTCTTAAATCACATGAAAGGAAATTTTTCTATTTCTCTCACAGTAGCGGATGGATTTGAACTGTATTCCTTTGAGTTGGCAGCACAACTATTTAACACTAGAGTTCTCATGTGTTTGTTGCTGTTGAGTACCATAGTTGTTAGAACCAACCCGTAGCTGACCCTCTGGTGGGTGTGGCCTTGAACCGCGTGCCTTTGGGATTGCAGCACAGCTTCTTGCCACTAGGCCACCAGAGCTCCCTCCAGTGTTTGTTGTTGTGTACCATGGAGTCAGAAATGACCTATAGCTGACCCTCCAGTGGGTTCTGAGAGGCAGTCACACAGGAGGAGATTGCCTGTTGTCCCACAGAGCACCTGGTAACTGTGAACCGAGTGCCTTCAGTATTGCAGCACAGTTACTTGCCACTAGGCCACCAGAGTTCCCTCTGTGGCTTCTGAGGGAGAAGGTTTTACTCAGAGGACCACAGAGAGCAGAGTGCTCCTGGCCAGAGTCCCACCCAGCACCCCAAGATGCCCCTTAGTTTGAGTAGCCAGCTGGATGTCACCTGGTTCCAGGCCTGACTCTGTCACCAGCTGACCAGAGCCTCAGTGTCCCCATTCTCCCATCACAGCTACTTCAATTGGACATAAACTCAAAAGGACAAGGACCTCCCTGTCTTGATTGGCCACTGTTTCCCTAGTGCTTCCAGCAGTTAAATAAAGGGGGGGACCTTTAAAAGCCCAAAAAGACAGAGGAGTAAGCCACCACGACCCACCAGAGGGATATGCAATGTTTTGTTATGGTCTTTGCATTGAGCAAAGCCCCTCTGGCTGTCCTTCCTGAGTAATGCCCTCTGCTGCACTCTGTGCCCATGATCTGCCCTGCAGAGCTCACCTACTGACCACAGATTGATTACAGCACCCCTCAGTGTCAGGCGGGAGTGGTTCCAAACCTGACTTTACATGGTGTGGAGAACCTGACTTTACATGGTGCCTGAAATACCTAAAAGGGGTGAGTGGAAATAAAATTGGCAAAGGTAGAAAGTGGGTAAAAGCATTCTAGGCAAAGCAGACAGCAAGTGCAAAGGCTTTGAGGCCTAGAGCATTTAGTCATGGGATGAACTTAGAGATGCAGGCAGAGCCCCGCCGTGCAGGGCTTGTAGGGTCTGCTGCCTGTAAGGAATGAGAAACCCTGCAGAGGCTGTACTGAATAATGTTAAGAATCAAATGGACAGAGTTCCATCTGCATAGAGATGGAGGTCACTCCATCTCTGTGCCTCAGTCTCCCTCCTTCCTCCACTAAGGTAATCACTGTCCTGCCTCATATGATCAGAGTTTCCATGCTCGTCTTTGTAGTTTGGCCACCTGTTGTCTATAGTATTGCTGGGTCCCTAGCCAACATCATCTGCCCTGCCTGCTCCTCCAATGCAGCACGGATGGAACCACACAGGGTGTGCTCCTGTGTCTGGCATCTTCCAGCTGGCACTGTATTTGTGATGTTCATCCATATATTGCAGCTGTAACGCATTCTGTTTATGGCTTTATGTTTTTCCACAGTATAAATTTGTCCCTTGGTTGGACTGATATTTAGAGATTTGTGTGCCCATGTCCCAAGGCATCTGGCATTTCTCTAGGCTGCAGTCTTAGGAGAGGAAGTACTACATTACCCATGGAGCCTGTTGGGTTTAATGAACCAAAATCCCCTGCTCTTGAGTGGGTTCTGAGTCATAGGGACCTTGAAGGGCAGAGTAGAACTGTAGGATTTCCAAGGCAGTAACTGAAGCAGAGTGCCACATCTTTCTCCCACAGGACATCTGGTTGGTTTGAACCACCAGCCTTCAGGTTGATATTTTAACTATTGCACCACCAGTGCTCCTCCATTGGGTTTATTGGATGCTCTTTCCCCATTGGTTGTACCGATCAACACACCAGGCAGCCACATGAAGTTTTGGCTGCTCCACATCTTCATCAGCCCTTGATCCTCTCAAACTTCTACTGAGTGTGAAATGTAAGGCTTTCTTGTATCTAAAGTAATTTTTCTAACTTTGATTTAAGTAAAGGCCTCAAGATGAAGATTAGCACAGATGGTATGTGGAAGATGGCAGAAACCCAAAGGTTTGGAAGTGTGTCAGTAACTGGTGTTTCTGTTTCAGCTGACTCCACGGGAACCCACTCCCTCTACACGACGTACCAGGACTACGAGATCATGTTCCACGTCTCCACACTTCTTCCTTACACACCCAACAATAGGCAGCAGGTCAGTAGGGCCTAGGATGGGGTGCCCAGCATGATCTCCCATTGCTGTTCATTGAACCCTGGGCACTTTCCTTACAGGGTTGTTGGTTGGCCCCAGCCTTGGCTTGCATGGTACCATCTTGTGTACCAACCAGAGGTCCCTCACTTATAAGGTTCCTTGTCACATGGTCACTTCACCTAAATTTAGAGACCAGATGAGACACGATGTCTGTCTGGTCCCAACTTCTCCTAGCCATTCTTCGGTCAACCCACCTGCCTCTAGCCACCACAGTGCCCTCAAGTGTCTCTTGAGAAAGATTGGAGGCATGTTAGGAATAAAAGCATCCATCAACATTATTTTGGATGGAAATGAAAAAAACTCAAACTGACACGAGCAAAAAAGTAAATACTTTGGGCATATTGATCAGGAGGATCCAGAGCCTAGAAAGGATATCATGCTTGGGAATGTAGAGAGTCAGTGAGGAAGAGGAAGACTCAGCAGAATGGACCAGCACAGCAGCTGCAGAGCGGGCTAACTCAGTGATTGAAGGTGACACAGGATTGGGCAGTATGGACACTTGTACATAGATAGGGTTGCTGTGAGTCAGAACTGCCCTGACAGCAGCTGACAACAACAGCAGCAGCAACATAAGCCGACAAAGCAGGTAGAGAGCTGGCTTTAGGTCTGACTGATTCCAGGAACACAGAGGATATTAGAGACCTGCTCCTTTTCCAGCTCTTTTCTTTGTGGTGGCATTGTTCAGAGTTCTGCCCAAATATTGATGAAGACACCCAGAACTCATATTCTGCCAGTTTAGCCACTCCAAGAGAAGGAGTGTCATCCCTTCTCTGTTGTTCCAGGAGCCATTTCTGGGCTGAATATTATTGAGTTATTTATATACCAGTTCCTAAGCCCCAGGGAGCTCTGGTGGCATAATGTTAAGGAGTTTCACTGTTATCTCAATTGAATCCACCAGCTGCTCCACAAGAGAAAGTTGGGCTGTCTGCTTTCATGCTTGTTACTACCACTGAAAACCCACTTATAGATCGGCTATGGGTCAATTCTGACTTGATGATACATAACAAGCCAGTCTCCAGGCCTGAGTATGCACAATCCCCCGAAGTGAGTAGCTGGTTTTGAAATCTTGATAGAGATCAGGGAAAGTGTTTTCCCAAAGGAGAACCAGAATATGGTTAGCTTGCTGAAACTGAGGAGAACCTGAAGCGCTTGCTGCAGGTCAAGGATTGCAGCCTTCAATATGGATTCAAGCTCAACATCAAGAAAATGAAAATTCTCACCTCTGGGCTGATTGGCAGCATCACAATGGATGATGAAGAGATTGAGATTGTTGACACTTCAGTTTGCTTGGCTCGACAATCAACACTCATGGTACCAGCAGCCAGGAAATTAAAAGATGAATTGCATTGGGAAAGTCTGCTGTCAGTCTAGAGACTAAGGTGCTCCTGATCCAGGCCATGGTATTTGCAGTCACTTGCTATGCATCCGAGAGCTGGACAGTGACGAGGGATGATAGAAGGAGAGTTGATGCCTTTGAGCTTTTGTGCTGGAGAAGAGTATTGAATATACCATGGACTTCTTAGGAGAACAAACAAGTTTGTCCTGGAGAGGGTGAAGCCAGGCTGCTCCTTAGGCACAAGGATTCTGAAGTCTGACATGCTTTGGACATGTTGCAAAGAGAGACCAGTCCTTGAAGAGCGACGTTAAGCTTGGGGGCGGTGGAGGTACAGCCTAGGAGAGGAAGACCCTCGAAATGGATTGATTCTGTCATTGGGGTAATGGGGGACAGGCGTGTCAGAGACAATGGGATTGGCAGGGGGTAGAGCAGGGTTTAGGGCTATTGTACATAGTGTTGCTATGAGTCGCATGTGACTTGACCGCACATAACAACAAGAGTTTATTGGGAGTGTGGTCTCTGAATTAGTCCTGAATTTGAGTTCTTTGCTCCTTCCTAGCTGTGTGACCTCAAGTGAGTAATTTCATGTCTCTGATCTTTGGGGTCCCCCCTCTGTCAGATGGGCAGAATGTGATAGTCCATTTCTCTCAAGGTCATTGAGAAGAGTCTGTGCTTCCGTTCCTGAAACAAAGCGGGGCCTGTATATAGTAGGTGCACAGATAGCAGCTCCTATCCCTGAGGGTTTGGAATTTTGATGGTAGAAAGCGTGGGATTTGGAGTTAAGCAAAAATTATTTTATTTTTTTCCCTCCATGACTTTGTGGCTGAGGGTAAGTCATTTAACCTCTCAAAGCCTGGTTTTCCCCATCTCTTAAACAGAATAAGATGAGTTAATTGTAGTGAGATTACAGTGGAATCGTGGCTGGAGGCTGGAAAAAAAGGATGAGTTGAGCCCAGGCTGTTGTGAACCAGGCTCCTTTCCCATTTCCCCAAGAGTACCCTAGCTGAATCCAGCCTTCCATCTCTATAGAACCCCTCAGCCTGTGCCACAGCCAGGATATCCAGGAAGCCACCTCCACACCCACCACCTGCCTCCTGTGAATCCCTTGGCTCCTGGCATGGTAGGACCAGGAATGGTGATGGAAAAGAAGATGCGTAAGAAAATGAAGAAAGCTCATAAAAAGTTGCCCAAACACCACAAACATGGAGAACATTCCACCTCCTCCCCTTTCAGCAGTAACTCTGACTAAATACAGGCCTGGCCTGCCCCTCAAATCTCCCCATCAAGCTTCACTTGCCACGTTATACTGAGGAAAATTAGCCCTTGTACCTCCTGCCTGAACCCCATACTGCTGCTTAGCCCTAACTAGGTAGGGCAAATGGGATGAGGTTTGTCAGGAGCTGCCAGAGTCCTTGGACAGAATTTTCAGCTAATGATTTAGTAAGCATATTGGGGGTTTTAAGATAGTAAGGCCTTTTGAACTAAATTCTGAAGACAAATTTAAGATTTCTAAAATGTGATTTTTTTTTTAAAAAAAAAGGTATTTTGTAATAATGAATGAAATGTAGTGGAAATGAAATTTTTTTAAAGAAATAATTTATCGCTATAAAATAGCTAGCTAGTACAAAAATAATTTATCGCTATAAAATAGCTAGTACAAAAATAATTTATTGCTATAAAATAGCTAGTACAGGTCTGCCCCCAGTAAATAGGCAGATCTGGAATTTTCATTTAATTCTATTGAATGTACAGCTAAAGAAGTAGCAATTCTGTAGTTGGAGTTGTGCTGATGAATCTCTTCCGGTTTGATATGTGCCCACCTCATCCATCCCATGCTACCCATGAGCTCTGTATAATAGTTATGTGAAGGCTAAGTGTGTGTAAATAAGAACATTACCATTTCAGCTTTGTCTGCACTATGATTACATCACCTGTAAAAATAATGGCTTCTTCGGAGACTGGCAAGGAAGGAGGAGGAAGAGCAGTGTAGAGAGGAGGGCGGGCAGAGCCCCTTACCCTGAGGCTATCTATAGCTGCCCCCAAGACACAGGGCACCTGGGAAGGGGAAGTGGTGTGGAACTGGTCCTGCTGCCAATCTCTAGTCTCCCTGCTGCTGCCCACAGTCCTGGCTTTTAGCAAACTAAGACCACCAGTCCATGCCGTCCTTAAGTATTTCCTGAGTACTGGCTATGTCAAGTACTGAGTCACTGACGACAGTAGTAGACAGAGAAGAAAACAGACAAATCCCTTTTGTCTGTTCTCATGGAGCTCACCTTTGATAGAGACAAACAAGGAACAAAAGAAAGAGAAAACGCCATCATGTGCTTAAATGCGTTGATATTTGTTCAGTTCATGAGTAAAAGGACAGTGTCTCCCACCAATGGGCCTGCCTGTTGATGTGAGAATGGGCTCTGCAGTGAACACACAGTGTCCTCCTCTCTGTCCTTCGTTCTTCCAAGTCACCCTCTGACATCTTACTCTTTCTCCCCTTGTCACCCTCACCAGCTTCTAAGGAAGAGGCACATAGGCAACGACATTGTGACGATCATCTTCCAGGAACCTGGAGCACTTCCCTTCACCCCCAAAAATATACGCTCCCACTTTCAGCACGTCTTTATCATTGTCCGAGTCCACAACCCCTGCACTGACAACGTCTGCTACAGGTACGCTTCCCTGCCCCATGCGCGTGCACACAGAGCCCCTAAAAGCATCCTGAGAAGTGCTGAGAACAGACCCTCACAGCCTAGGCATGTCCTGTTTGGCCTGGTGTCCTAAAAGAGCAGTTCTCAGCCAGAGAGAGACACATCTCCTTAACCTTGAAAAGAAAACTATCCAGACCTTGTGTTTGCCTGAAACATTTTGGTTGCAGATGATGGGAAAACCACCTCAGTCTGTCTTAAGACAAAGAGGGTGTTGTCTCTTATTGACTCACATAAAGGGCAAGTCCAGGCATAAATGGATCTCAGCATTCTCATTTGTTGCTTCATTTTCTGGAGCTCTGAACCTTGAGCTGCCACCAGAGCTATGAGGGCTTTTCTTTCCCAATAGCTGCCATCCTCCTGACAAACCATCCCAAATGCTATGAGCAAAGAGAGCTTTTCTTTCCCAAGAGCTGCATCAAAAACTCCAGAATTGAAGCTCATTGACCTGAATGGAGTCATGAGCCTGTTCTAGAGCCAGGCCTAATACAACAGGCCTGAGAGTCTGGGAGGCATAGAAATTTCCCGGAGGAAGACCAGAAGACAGGACTAGATACAGGGCAGGCAAAACTCCCTAGTGGCCTCCTCTCAGGTGGTAAAGTTGAGTGATTGTAGTTCAGAGATTGACAAGTAACAGTCCTCGTACCCATCTGTATCCTACCTGGAGCATTGTTCTCACTGCAGAGGAGATCTCATAGACTAGACAGAAAGTTCCCTGGGTGTGAGATGGGAACATCCAAGCTCTCTTGGAGGTGATGGTGGCAATTACAGAAGTGGCCCTGGTTACAGTAGTAGAGGGGGTTACAGTGGTGGTGGAGCAGGATATGGAAAGCAAGGTGGTGGGTAAGGTGGCCATGGTGGAGGATACAATGAATGAAGGAGGAAACTTTGACGGTGGTAACTCTGGTGGTGGTGGTGGGAACTATAATGATTTTGGAAATTATAGTGAACATCAGCAGTCAAATTATGGACCCATGAAAGGGGCAGTTTTGGTGGGAGAATCTCAGGTTGTCGTAGTGGTTATGGATCTGGTGGTAGAAGTGGTGGATACTGTAGCAGAAGGTTCTAAAAATTCAGCAGCAAAGGCCTCCAGGTCTTAGCAGGAAAGAGCGAGCAGTTGTCAGGAAAGCTGGAGCTTCCTTAGAGCTAGCCGTCAAAAATGCATCAGAGGAGCTGTGAGCACCTGCCCTAGAAGGAGCGATGATGATCCATAGTCAGAAAAGTTACTGCAGCTTAAACAGGAAACCCTTCTGTTCAGGACTGGCATAGCCACGTTAAAAAAGTATAGACAGTACACAGCAAAGAGTGCAGCGGTTGATTCATGAAGTGTCAGTTAGATACACATTCCTTAGGCTTTTTATCTGTTGTAGGTTTTGTCTTTTCATCACATCAGGTATATCACCCTGTAAATAGTGCTAGTGGTATCAGGAGTACAAAATTAAAGAATTTTTAACTTTTTTTAAAATGAGTTTACACGTCCTGATATTTTATGCACATGAAATAACGTGTAAGCAGTCCCCACTCTCCTTTCTAACACACCTGGTAGCGCGTGATCTAGGCCTTCCATGGCAATACAGAAATTCCTCCTGCGTTTTTGTTATTGTTGTTGATAGTTGCTGTCCAGTCAACTACAACTTCTTGCCACCCTGTTACCCTTCACCCTCTCCCCATGGTCTCTGATGGCTCCAGCCTGTTGTTACAGGCACTGGCAATCCATGTTGTTGAGGGTCTTCCTCTCTTTGTCAGACCCTCCACTTTTCCCAGCATGAGGTCTTTTTAGTAAGAAGTAGCCCTTCCTGACCACATACCCAAAGTATGTGAAACCTAGTACAGCTGTGTAGTGTTTGCGTATATGGACATAATGTGCATTCACATGGTTGCAACATATGTAAGTCCCCACATATGTACACCATCCCCTGTGGATGGGGAGTTGGCTGGTTTCCCATCACCTACAGTTTGTGCTGCCAAGAATAACCTGTAGATACTCCCATTGCATGCACATCCAAGAATCATCCAAGAATTCTTTCCATTTAGAGAATTTCCTCCAAGTGAAAATGCTGGATCAAAGGGTACATGTGTGTGTGCACGGGGAGTCTTAGTGGGAGTGCCCAGGTCCATCAGTTTCTTCACTTAGGCAGGAGACCACCTGTTTCCCCAGCTGCATGTGAAGGGTCTGGAGGGGCTTCCACTGTCCACATCACGCTGAGTGTGTCCTCCAAGGGCCTCCATGCTATAGTAACTGTGCCTGGGCAGGAGGCCCCTTCTACCCCTGCCCGGTTTTCCCCAGAACATTTATTAGAGACCAGCTGCAAGAGGTGCCAGGGACCTGAGGTCATTCAGTCACCACAAGGGTTTAAAGAACAGCTGAAAGGTAACCCTGGGGGGGAGAGCAGAGGGACATGTAATACATGTGCACCCCAGGAAAGGAGACAGCCTGCTTTTAGGGTGCTTGAGGAAGGTTTGACTGGAGTTCAGTCCCATCTACCTTGCTCTGGGCTCTTTCTTTGACCTGGATTATTACCATAACCTTGTGATGGGTATAGTCCCACCACCACCACTGTCCTTCCTTCCCTCTCAGCCTTCCCTGCTGGCCTCCACTTAGCATCCATCCAGGGCAAACTTTCTGCAATGCCTTTCTTGTTTGTCACAATTGAATTTAAAGTCTTTTTATTATGTGAAATTGTGAAACGTCTGAAAAGTACAGAAAATAATATGACAGACGCTGGGTACCTACCACCCAGATCTAGCAGATGTTAACATTTTGCCATATTTGCTTCTGTTCTCTTTCTCTTTTAATTTATTTATTTAAAAAAAAGAAAGAAAATGTTAAGAGATCCCAGAGCTCCCCAGCTCCACGACTCCTGCCTGACTCCTGCCCTCCTCCTTACCCCAGGCGCCTGCTCTGGTCAAACCTTACCCCACCCTCTCAATCCTCCTGGAAGCCCTGCCCCATCACTCCTGGCCCTACTGACCTTGCCTCACCTCTGGACCGCCAACCCCTTACTCCCTGGAGACCCTTATTCTTTTTTTTTTTCCTTCTTTTTTTGGAGACCCTTATTCTAATGTAACTTCCTAATTGCCCTTCAAGACTGAGCTCAGTCATGACAAGGAGGGCAGCTCCTGATCATACCCATCTTATTATTTCTGTTATGGCCACACTACTTGACATGTACCCCTTGCTGTCAAGTCAGTTCCAACTCAGAGTGACATTCCAGGACGGAGAACTGCCCCATAAGGTTCCCAAGCTGTTGATCTTTCTAGAAGCAGACTGCCACATCTTTCTCCCACAGAGATGGTAAGATTCAAACCGCCAGCCTTTCAGTTAGCAGCCAAGTTCCTAACCCCTGTGCTACCAGGGCTTCTTCACTTGGCCCATAAACAAGCAAACCAAAAACCACCCCATCCACTGCCTTGAGTCGTTTCCAGCTAACAGCACCCCTCCACTGGGTTCCTGAGGCCATGAAGCCCTTATCAGGGAGAAATTGCCTGTCCCGTTCCGTTTTTTAGCTGGTTAGATGTAAATGGCACCCCAGCATCCCTGCAGCCAGTGGCCCCTACTGACATTACAGCTCCGGTCTCTCCTGCTAGCAAAGCAAGGACCAGCTGCTCTGCCTATCCAAAAAACTCCGACAGTTGGCAGTTTCGTGATTCTTAAATTCATCAATAGGGACTGTGGGAAAAGCAAAATCTGTCACTACAGGCAGCCAAATGCTGAATAAAGAAGTCACAAAGCTATTCCATTTTGGGGAAAGTGCAATCTAAATGCCTGGTAACTAAAGACAGGAGCTGGAGAGGTGAGGGGACACGGTCACCCCATGTCTCCCTACCCACTGCTCATGGTAGAAACGCTTTCTTTTGGTCTCTTCTGTTTTCAGAGGTTCTGTGAGTTGAGTGCTTGTGCTGGAGCTTAAGTGAAGCCCAAGGCGGGGTAGGCTCGCTGAACAGTCCACAGAAATGGGGCAGGATGAGCCTGGCCTGATGTTCCTGGAGCCCCCTCTTCCGTTTTCTGCCTGTCCTCTGGCCCCCTCTGGTCCATTCTTCCTGAAATATTTGCAGATTGTCCATGCAATGGCATCAGATACTGAGCAAGAAGCTCCCCAAGATATTGATGGGGGAGTTGATAAACAGGCTGTTAACAAAGGTGTTAGGGTAGGTGACCCACTGCTTTGGAGTCAATCCAACTCATAACGACCCCATAGGACAGAATAAAACTGTTCCATGGGGTTTCCAAGGCTAGAAATCTAAAACGTTCAATCTCCCACAGAGTGGCTGTTGGGGTCAAACAGCTGACCTTTCTGTTACCAGCCAGCTACTTTATCCACTGGCTCACCAGGACTCCTCATAGGTAGCCAGTAGTTTATTAGTTAACAGAGACTTCCATGCTTAGAAAGGACAACTCATATTCTGGTCATGTCTTTTCTGTCTAAAGAGAATAAGATACTTTTCTTTCTACCATCTAAATGATTTCTCCCTCCCCAGCATGGCTGTGACCCGATCCAAAGATGCACCTCCCTTTGGCCCCCCTATCCCCAGCGGAACCACGTTCCGCAAATCCGACATCTTCAGAGACTTCTTGCTGGCCAAGGTGATTAACGCTGAGAATGCTGCACACAAATCCGACAAGTTTCACACCATGGCCACCAGGACCCGCCAGGAGTACCTCAAGGACCTGGCAGAAAACTGCGTCTCCAACACACCCATCGACTCCTCTGGCAAGTTCAACCTCATCTCCCTGACATCTAAGAAGAAAGAGAAAACAAAAGCACGAGTGGGTGCTGAGCAGCACAGCGCAGGGGCCATCGCCTGGAGGGTGGCAGCCCAGGACTACGCCCAGGGCGTGGAGATCGACTGCATTCTGGGAATTTCTAATGAATTTGTGGTGCTCCTGGACCTGCGCACCAAAGAGGTGGTGTTCAACTGCTACTGCGGAGATGTCATTGGCTGGACCCCAGACTCCACAACACTCAAAATCTTCTATGGGCGAGGGGACCACATCTTCCTACAGGCTACGGAGGGCTCTGTGGAGGACATAAGGGAAATTGTCCAGAGACTGAAGGTAAGGGAGTGAACGCAGCAATGGTGTCATGGTTCATTTGGAACCACTGAAGTACCTCTGCTAGCCTGGTCAGTCGGGCCCCCAGATAATCAGAAATAACATTTAAATCCTTGGAGTTTGATGGGTGTCTGGTAGCCTGGGTTCGTTCTGGAGGAGGTTTGTTCTTTGATCTGTGGATCTGAGGCTCTCCATATGTTCACTTCAGCAGGATAAAAGATCTATCAACTATAGGGAGCTCTGGTGACCTAGTGGTAAGAAGCTGTGCTGCAGTCCCAAAGGCACATGGTTTGAATCCACCAGCTGCTCTGTGAGAGAAGGTTGAGCAGTCTCCTGTGTTAATTACTGCCTCTAAAACCCCACTAGAAGGTCAGCTGTGAGTCATTTCTGTCATGGGTTTGACTCATTATTTATATACCCTTGGGGTTTGGTATGTATCTTGTAGCCTGAGTTCTTTCTGGGAATGGTTTGGTCCAGGGATCTGAAGCTCTCCATGTAGTCACTTTAGAAGGATACAAGACATACCTATCTGTAGAATGTCTAAGTTTAAATTGGTGTGGAAAATGCCAAGGTTTTTGTGACGTGCCTTCCTGGGCTGAGCAGTGGCTGGCCTTGGTGGGCCTGCTCCTTCAAGGCAGATACTGAACAAGGGATAATAGCTGCAAACAGGTTGAGATTGAGACCCTGTTTGAGACAAGGAGGTCTCAAACGCACAGGCTGGGTACAACCCTGAGATGTTTTTAAAGATGTGGTGTTTTGTTTTTCATTAAATGGCACAGCTTATCTTTCAGAGAATTTCATGTAAATCTAGCTTGCTTAGAAAACTGGGGGATTTAGTGATGTGGAACCCATATTTGCAGATAGCAGCAGGTGTTAAAGCAGGGTTAACAGTGCACCCTTAGATGGGACGTACCAGTGGGGAAATGCAACCATGTTATATAGTAGGGGCCTCACCTGCAGGACCCAGCCTGAAACTGGATTGGCTGCAGTGTTTGGTCTCCTAAGATAACTCCTATGCCATGTGTCTTTTCTGAAACCTTCTCAGGTTCAGGAGTGGTAGTCTTCTCTAACTGGAGCATCTTTGCTTCTTTATAAAAGCAAACGAGAAAGAGACGCACAGAAAACATAAAGTACACAATCCCGTTTCTGAAATGCCCAGAGGGAACAGAGACAGAAGCAGAGAGATCACCAGGGGTTGGGGGAGAACCAACAGGGGACTGACAAGTGGGCCTGATTTCCTTTTAAAGTGAGGAAAAATGTTCTGGAATTAGTGGTGATTGTTATACAACGTGATGACAGTGCTAAATGCCACAAGAGTTTGTACTTTCAAAAGGTAAGAATTAGGTTCTTTGAATTCTATCCCAATTTAAAGGGAGGGAATGGATTCTATCGCATTAAAAGGGAGGACAAAAGGGTCCTGGAATTTAAGAATCCTAAGGGACAGAGCTTTGAGAGTCTCTCTCTTTCTGTTTCCTATCCAGACTAAGCTAAAGCAGCTGCAGTAGGTAGTTACCAGCTAAGTTGAGCTGATAAAATAGACTGAAAAATGCAATAGCTAGAATGAGCTAGGAGTGGATTATTACTATTATTCTAGAGGCGCAAGATAGCATAAATTATTAAGCTCTTAACTACTAATTGGAAGTTGATATAATTTTTAACCCACCTGGATGCCTTAGATGAAAAGGCCTGGTGACCTGTTGCCAAAGTGTCATGGCCTTGAGAAAGCCCTGTGGAACAGTTCTTTAGTGCACCCGTGGGCTTGCTGTGAAGACAGCAGATTTGGATTTTCATTAGCACTCGCTGGGTCCAGGCTGCCAGGGACAGCTCAGGAACTCTAAGGCCGTCCACCTTACTGCTCCACCTTTCCCTTATGTACTTATCTGCACAATCCAAGGTGAGTTACTCTCGGATCTACTTCCCTGCCTACAGGAAGGGAAAGGTGTGAGTGTGGAGCAGTTTCCTCTTTTAAGAACATGGGGTAAGTTTCGTCACCTTCACTCACATCCTGTAAGTCATCACCTGGTCACACAGGGGTAAGGGAGTATGGGAAGCAGGATCCCTAACTCTGTGATGATGTACCCATCCAAAGCATTTGGGGATGAGAACCTCTTTACTAAAAAGGAGAGAATGGATATTGTGAGATGGGAATGTGTATAAATGTGAGAATATGTAGTCTGATGTGTGATACAAATCTTGGTGTAACTTGCTTAGTATCTACAACTTGTTACTTTAACCTTTTTATCTCTAAGAAAGAAAGGGAGTTCACCGCATGCTGTGGGATTGGGTATTTCTCGTGGGTTCTTTTATCAATGGTAATGCATCATAGTGAGGAAAAGACACACATTCTACTAATGCAGTGGTCAGTAATTGGCTGCATGGTCAGATCAGCTCTCTTTTGGAGGAGATTGGGAAAGTGTTAGTGTCTCAGAAAATGATGTCCTAAAGTCAAAGAATATGGCCTCAACCTTCAAGCTAAGGAAAAATGCTGGTGTTGCTGGTGTGTTGTCTGCTTTGTTTTAAGTCACTCAGGAAACTTAAGATAACAGACATTTATTCCTTGCCCATTCTGGGTTCAGCTAGGGAGTCTAATTCATATTATGCTAACTCTGGGACCCCAGCTGGCCCCTCTCTGGAATCTTACTGGTCACTGTGGCAGAGGGAAGGGGCTGCCAAGGGTCTCAACACTGGTGATTACATACCCAGCCCAGATGCCATAGCAATTCTGCTCACAACTTGTTGCCCTGCACCAGTCCCATGGCCCCAGCTTACAGCAAGGGGTCCGAGAAGTACAGTCCCACCACAGATTGGGGAAGAGAGCGAACATTAGAGAACATGACTCATGAATCATGTTGTCTTCGTGAGGTGGTAAGCCCCATAGTGATGAGCCCTTGTTTACTCTTTGGAAATCAGAAACATGGTCTGGGGAAAGGTGGAGATTGACTACCCACTAAGCAGGCATCACCTGGAAGGATGAATGGCAAGACCTGTGGGCTTCACTGGGGAAAGCTGACCCAGGTGGCTCCTGAGACTAGGTCTTGCCTCTTGCCTGCAGGTGGTGACCAACGGCTGGGAGACCGTGGACATGACACTGCGGCGGAATGGACTCGGACAGCTGGGCTTCCATGTGAAGTACGACGGGACAGTGGCTGAAGTGGAGGACTATGGCTTTGCCTGGCAGGCTGGCCTCCGGCAAGGCAGCCGGCTGGTGGAGATCTGCAAGGTAGCTGTGGTCACCCTGACGCATGACCAGATGATTGACCTGCTGCGTACCTCTGTCACCGTGAAGGTGGTCATCATCCCACCCTTTGAAGATGGCACACCCCGCAGGTAAGAGCCCCTCTCTGCAAAGCTGGAGCCGAGTGGGGGAATGGCAGGTCCCAGACTGTTGGCCTGAGGCCTCACTGACACTGTTGCTTGAGGCCAGAATAGTGGTGATAGAGAAATCCTTTCTCATCGAGTTGGTGGGGGTGAACATCTATTGAGCACCTACTGTGTCTTAACTGGTTTAAGCTCTTGTGCTTGCATTATCTCAGCAGCCTCCTGAGATACAGCTTGAATCTTTTAGATGAAGCTCCTAGGACCCACTCATTTTGCCTGTTAGCTCAGCATGGATTTTTTTTCCCCCTTTTAATATTTTGGTCATGAAATTTGCTAGACTATGTTTTGCCCAAGTGTTGGCCTGATCACACTTATGGATGTATTTTTATTTGCATGAAGGTTTATAAATCATACTGCTTTTTCATGCAACCATTTATAAACTGTTTTATGACATTAATTGGCATTGATTAATTAATTACAGTACCCTTACTGTTTTTTGCCTTTCCTTTTATTTAGCTTACCTGTATTTTAATTTTTGTACACCCCCTTTCCCTCTCTTCTCTTCCCAGTTCTCCCTCTAAGATTGATTTTTGTGCATAAACCTTTCATAAGCTTTTTTAATAGTATCATGTGATAATGGTGGCCTAGAGGTAAGAAGCTGCACTGTAATCCCAAAGATATGCAGTTCAAATCCACCAGCTGCTCCGCAAGAGAAGGATGGACTGTCTCTTCCCATTAGATTACCTGCCTCTGAAAACCTGCCAGAGGGTCTGCTGTGGGTTGGTTTCAACTCAGGGGTTCGCAACAATAACAACATGCAATAATTATCTTTTTTCTGACTAGACTCTTATAGAGAGTTATACTATTAACCCAAGTGTCACACCTCTCTGGCATTCTAACCACCGTGACTTCTCAGAAAAAAGGTGGGCAGTCTCCTTCAGCCTCAGAGGCCCAGTGAAGGATCAGCAATGAGTCAGTTCTGACTCGGGGCAGTGGGCTTGAGGTGTTATAATACCACCCAGCATAATGTGTTCTAGATTTCTCCATGTTGTACAATATTTCATACATTCTTAGCCATGTTTCAGTGATGCTCAGCACATACTTATTTAAGTTTCTACTGTGTATAGGTTCTGTTCCAAACTCTGAGGTTAGAAGCAGTGAAGAAGTTCAGTACCTGCTCTCTTATTCATATTCTAGGAGGGAGAAGGCTATGAATAAAGAGCTTTGTAATACAGTTCCAGTCATGACGAGTTCTAAGGCAAATAAGAGGAGTAGAGTGGGACAAGGGAGCTGCCTTATTGGATGTGTCAAAATAAAAACCCCAAACAACAAGAAGTATATGTCATGGTCACCGAGGCTGATGCAATGCTTCAGTAGGAGTGTGTGCCTGTTCCTGGAGCAGCAGAAAGGCTGTGACCAGAACAGGGTGAGCAGGGTGTGAAAGGTCCAAGAAAAGAAGTAACAAGCAGCTGATGGGGCTTCCTGAACCTGTGGAGCTCATGTTTTATTTGGGGAGAGTATTAAGAAGTTGGTGGCAGGTTGGATTCTTTGGTGTCATTTCTTTAATGTTGTTTGATGCCATCAGTTATGACCCATAGTGACCTTATGAACCCACATCTGAACCCTGTCCTGTTGTGTGCCATTTTTAATCTGATTGAAAATTCACAAAGCAAATCAGCTTTTCATTCAACCATTCGTGCCTATTTTGTTATGTACCATTATTATGGAAGTGAAATCACACTTTTCCACTTCATCCCTGTAATTCTCATTTTCATTAATCCTTCTGTCATATCCCTTCCTGCCTTCTGGGCAAATGTGTTCTTTTGACACATAGTTATCAACCCATTGTTTGAACAGTAATCAATATGCAGCCATTATTCCGTTTAATTTTAATTAGTTCTGCATTGGATTGTCTGAAGCAATCCCAGACCTTGGGACATACTTAAAAGGAGTTGTTTTGTTTTGTTGTTGTTTGTTTGTTAAGTTACAGCTAAATAAAAACCAAACCCACTGCCACTGAGTCTGTTGAAACTCATGGAGCCCTCCTCTACTGGTTTTTCTAGAATATCAGTCTTTACAGGGGATTGCCTCATCTTTCTCCTATGAAACAGTTGGTAAGTTCAAACTGCCAATCTAACGTTACTATGCCATCAAGGCTTCTTGTTACATAAATACTGGGTCCCTAGAAGACACTCAGTAAACACTAGCTAGTAGTAGATCTGAGGAAAATAAGAAAGTGGACATCAGACAGGGTGGTCAGGGAAGGCCTGCGGGGTCAGGAGGAACCAGAAGAAAGATAGAGACAAGGCAGCATTGAGGCCCTCAACCTAGTGATGGAGTGGGAAGAGAGGCTATGTGGCTGGGGCAGAGGGAGCCCAGGGCAAGTTGAAGAGACATTAACTGACAGTGATCCCCACTTTATAGATGAGAAGATTGTGGCTCAGCAGAAAGTCACTGTACAGTGAGCAAATGACAGATTAGAGCTGACACTGACACTTATCCAGCTCCGTTTTATACCGCTGCTTCCAGAGGCTGTGGTGCACTCTGCGCCTGTGAGTTGTGATTGTGTCACGCACACCATCCCAAGTCCTGGGCTGGTAGCTCTACCCCCTGGGGCCCCCACTCACCTACCTCGCCAGTTCCCTCAGCTTCTGAACTTCATTCAGACCCATTACCTTCTCCCAGCTCTTCCATGCCTCCTCCAGTCTGCCCAGTGCCAAGGCCCAGCCACGCCCACCCAGATCTCTGCAGGGGCAAGTCCAGTGGCTGGGAACCCCACACTCAGGCTCCCCGGGTTTGTTCTGCCTTGCCCAGCACACATGCTCACACTCACACGGGTGCCTGTCAGATGACTCAAACCTGGGGCATGCTCCCAGCCCTGCAGGTAGGAACCACTGGAAGCGAAAGTCAAAGACAGCAGTACCCGTCTCTGCTTAGGGAGCTGAAGCCTAGGTGGGTGTGATGGCACAGAAGAGTTTCATGCCAACTCTGTTTAGGACAGTCAGTCCTCCTGTTCCCTCTGCAAGGCTTCTGCTAAACAGGATCTCCTATTTACAGAGGCGGGTGTGGTTCTTGTTCTTCAAATGGCAGCTGTGCCCTCATTTGCAGAACTGATAACCCCTCCTCTCGTGTCCCTCTGCCAGTCTTTCTCTGCCACCCTGGCAGTCTGGCTCAGATGTCACAAGAAGCTCTGAGATGACACTGTGGGGTGTGGGCAGAGTTGCCTCTGGCTCTGTGTGGCTGCACTCTGACTCCATAGTCTTTGGTGCACAGCGTTGCCTGACACTGAGTGGAGAACCAGAGAGCCACCCCCAACCTGTGCAGCAAGACAGGCTTTTGAGTGAGTCCTGAGCCTCTAGGCTCACAGCTGGGCCAGCAAGCCAAGACTTTGCTGCTCTTCTGCTAAAATGTGGCACCATGACCTGGAGCACTTATACAGGTCAGGAACAATGTTCTTCTCATTGTGTCTTTCACTGCCTAATGGGGTCCTGGGATGCTTTAACCCCCTTTCATTAGGCCTGAGACCTCAGCTCTGATCAAGACCTTGGAAATTCTCCCTGAGAAGGAAATTGAAACCCCATATGTGAATGAGTACAAGAGATAAGGAAGGAGTCCCAGTGGCCCTCAGAACTCAAGGAAAGTGGTCTGAGAAATTGAGGTGTTCTCAGATGATGCTCATGTATAGGCCAGAAGGCTGGCAGGGGAAAAGTCTAGAAAAAAACCTAAATGTCCCCCACTGTAGGCTGTAGGTAGTCAGTCATCTGTGTGATGGACAATGTCCACCGGTTGTTAAAAGAGACTGCAGTAAATCTGTGCTCAGAGCCCACTGAAGTATTGTTAATTGAAGATGCTGCACAAGGATAGATTGTATTAGTTATTACTATTTTAAATACTGTGTGCTTCTTAGTATCAGATAGTTCTGAAAGAAAATCTGGAAACTGGTATGAGGGGATTGCCTGTGGTGAGTGAGCAGGGAAGAGGAGTGAGGATGATTGACTTCATTTTGTGCCGTTTTATACCACATTAATCTTTAAGAAAACATTTTAAATAAATAAAGGTGGGGCTTCTCAAACTGTGTGTCAGTATCATCACTAGAATCTGAGTGGAACGCAAACTCCATCTCGGGTGGAGATTGATGATGATGATTGCCATCGAATCGAGCACAATTCATTGTGACCCTATGAACAATATCTGAAGCCTTTCTGTAACTGTTGTCCTTTTTCAAAGTTCAGTTTCTAGAGGTATGTTGTTTAGGAAGTGCATGCCACTCTTGCTTCCAAGGGTAGAGATTATGATCCTGATAATCTGGGGTGGGGGCAGGAATTTCTATATCTTAAGTCATTAACCAAAAGATCAGTTCTTCAAATCCCCCAGCCTCTCCTAAGGAAAAAAGATGGGCAGTCTCCCCTTGTAAATATGTATAGTCTTAGCCGCCTGATGGAGGGCCATCATGAGTGGGAACAGACTTGAGGGCAGTGTGGCTTTCTGGTTTTATGAGAACTCAGGGTGGCTCACAAGCTGGTGGTTCTGAGATCCCTGGGGAGGACCATGTTCCAGAACCCTACAGAGGTACACTTGGACTTCAGAAAGTGTTAAGAAACTACTTCCACTCCTAAGCAGGTGGGAAGAGCAGATGTCTGTGTACCTGGTTAGGAAAGACCAGCTCCTACTTCCTTGAGCATCTAACAAGTACCAGGCTCTGCTAAACTAATGCTCATAAGAATGCCCACAACTACCCTCTTGGAGTGAGATCAAGCCCTCATCTCAAAGATTAGGAGACGGAGGCTCTGAGAAGCAAATCGCTCACCCAGGGCCTTCCTAATGGTAAACAGCAGACCTGGGATCCAGACCAGCAGACAGACTGACTAGGGAGCTGTCGCTCTCGCCTCTGCTTTATTGCCTTCAGTCGGCTTGAGTCCATGAAATCCAGAAGCTCACAGTAGACACACAGCACCCTCTTGGAGATCATGCACAGGCTCCCTCAACAGGAAGCTGTAATTGGGGAAGCAGTCAGGAAGAATTTGCCCTCCAGTCTGAAGCTATTTTAGACTAGTGTGCGGAGTTGGTTAAGGTTGTGGGCTTTGGAGTTGACTTCCTACATTTAAACTTTTGCTGCTGCTGCTGCTGCTGCTGCTGCTGCTGCTGCTGCTGCTGCTGCTGCTGCTATGTGAACTTGGGCAACTTGCTTAACTTCTCTTTGCCTCAGTTTAAGTCTAAAATACGGTATTTTGAGCAAGACCCTGATGATCAATAACAGAACAGATTCAAAATAGAGCAAAAGAAGGCCTCTGCCGGCTTGTGTAACTAAACAAGACTAGGAGGTGGGAGGATTTAAGCATGGCTCAGATAACCTTACATGGAATCTTGGTTTCGTGTCTCCTTTTCTGAATTGATGTCATTCTTGGGGAGACTCCCACCTCACGTAACTCTCAACACACATAGACAAACATACAGCAGAGCCAAGCTTAGTGACTCCCAGTTTAACATACATAGCAGAAAGAGATCACTTCCACCCCCACCCTCACTACCTCCCAAGAGTTCTAGAAAAAGTTCCAGTGTTGATCCTCCTTGGCTCTGATTGGTCCCATTTAGGGCACATGACAATGCCTGCACCAGTCTTTGTGGCCCGAGGGAGAGGAGTTTCTCATTGCCCCAGCCTAGCACACATGCTCAGACTTGAAGGCAAGAAATGAAGTCAGCCCCACCCAGAGCCCACAGAGCTGTTATTAGAAGAGAATGGAAGCTAACAGGCAGGAGGAGCAGGTGTGCACTGCCAGGGGAGCGCAGGGCACCTTCCCCACCTCCACCACGCTATGCGAATCAACAGGCACTCAGTGATAGATGTTGACTCTGCTCTCATAACCCAGGGTCATGGCTGGTGTGGCATCCACACCTCGTAACCCCAAGAGATGGCAGGATGTCAGGCCAGCCCGGGTCTTAGAGCTGATCCTCAGATCTCCCTCTGATAACTCCGTAGTAGCCGTGTCCTGGACCACAACCTCTGAGCACCAAGTCTACTGGAGATTTTTCTGGGTGCCCATTAAAACTCCCTGGGTTTCTGGAGAGCCTACAGGGTTCCATTCGATGGGGACCTCAGAGTTCTCCTCCTGCAGCTGACTTTAGGTGGTGGTTCCCCTCACGACCCCACTCAGTCTCAGAGCCTTTCTGTGCTGCAGTGGAGCAGGACAGCCCACCCAGCCACCTCCTGCTTCGAGCCAGGAAAACCAGCGGCATGCACATGCCAGCCAGGTCGGGGGGATTCACAGGTCGCACCACAGTGGCTTGCTTCTTTTCTCCCTTCTCTCTCTCTCTCTCTCTCTCTCTCTCTCTCTCTCTCTCTCTCTCTCTCTCTCAACAACACCCTGCAAAGTAGGTCACCTGCTTCACTTCCAGCTGCCGTTGTGCTTCTTTGAAACAAGGCAGATACTGTCCTTTAAATCTGAAGGTATCCACTGTTCGGGCCTAGATGCCGCTAAGGGGACCTGAGCTGGTCCATGGACTGAGGCTTGAGGTCTGGGTCAGGGAGAAGGGAGAGGACAGGAGGACGGAGGTAAGTTAGAGCAGGCCAGGCTCTCCTGGCTGAGCGCCAGGCACTGTCTGAGCTGGTGAGTGTCAGACCAGTTTAAAGGGTCGGATGTGGCAGGTCCAGCCCCTCCAGGTGCTACAGAGCAGCAGACCTCTCCGTGGGTGTGTGCCAGGGCCTGGGCCCTTCTGACTGATGCTTTCTCTTCACAGGGGTTGGCCAGAGACCTATGACATGAATACCTCGGAACCCAAGACCGAGCCAGAAAACATGGTTCCCGGGGGCCGGCCCCCCTACCGCAGCAACGCTCCCTGGCAGTGGAGCGGACCTGCATCCCACAACTCCCTGCAAGCCTCCAAGTGGGCTGCACCAGCCACCCCAGGCCATGCCCAGTCCCTGAGCCGGCCCCCAAAGCAGACCCCATTGGTCCCCTTCCGGGAGTCCCAGCCTCTACACAGCAAGAGGTAAGGATGCCCTCCTGCACCTCCCTCCCTTCTTCCTCCTTTCACTTACGTGTTCACTGTGGGCCTTGCTATGTGGAAGGGCTCAGTGTCTGAGGTCTGGAGCCCACCATTCATCTAAACAAATGATATGCTAGTATATAGGTCAAGGAACGAAGCAGCAATCAATTCTTGGGTGCTTCTTAGGGGAAACAGGGAAGTAAGAAAGGGAAATGCACGCAGGTCAGGCTGTATGGTGGGTTCACAGAGTTTGATACATTTGCTATAAAATGTATAGATTTAGGGTTTTTTAAAAAAAATATGAGGCTATTAAAGATAAATTTTAACTTTTTTCAGAAGGATTCTGATTTAAAGGAATATCTCAAACAGTTTATAGCAGCAGAAGCTGAAGGATGTCAGCAGCAGAACCAGAAAGGAGGGCATAAGATATCCCAGCTTCCCACAGCCTCAGCTTCACTTTCTCTCAGGGTCGCACACAAAACGTGCTTGAGCCTGAGGGAGCGGGCCTATCTGTCCTGTGTGAGGACCAAGAATGTTCTTTACACTCAGCCTCTACCGCCTTCCCCTCTTTCCTCTCGTTCCAGGCCTGTCAGCTTCCCAGAAACCCCTTACACAGCATCACCAGCAGGGGCCGACAGAGCTCCTCCCTACCGACAGCCTTCAGGGAGCTTCTCCATCCCCGGCTCGGCCACCTACGCGAGGTACAAGCCATCGCCAGAAAGGTCAGAACCGCTTCACTCTCTTCAGTTTGGGAGATTTCTGGGAAGCTGTGAACTCTTCTTCCTCAGGAAGTACACAGCCCCTACAATTTTACGTACCATTTTATGGATATCTAGACCCCTGAGAGCCTTCAGAAAATCCCATCCTACTGGGGTGTTGTCTGTGTCTCAGGTTAAGATTTAGAGACAAGCTGGGCAGGGCAGGACTAGTGATTGGCTTTCTGGCACCAGAATTTTGGTTGTCTGCAGCCCAGCCCCTCAACACAAAGCCACCAGTATTACCCAGTTTTCATGGTCTTCAGACTTCAGCCATGCCCTCTCGGATCCATCCCACCTGGCAGCCCAAAGCCCTCTGTAGCTCCCCACTGTATTCAGGATAAACTCAAGCTGTGTAGACTGGCATTCAAAATCCTTTGAGATCTGGCCACAGCTGAGCTCACTCTCAGGACCTTCAGCCCAAGTCTCCCTCCCAGCACGGCCCCACCATTCTGTCTCCTGCTTCCTTACTCCCTCCATCTCCACAGTCCCCCACTACCTGCTTAACCTCTCTGCCCTGGCATCCTCCCTGGGCTCCCAGTCTCACCTTCTCTGGTCCACTCTCCAGTCAACAACCAGAAGAAGGTTTTATTTCTGGCCATGTCTGTCCCCTGCTTTAGACCCTGTGGCCAGCAAGGCCCTGCCATCTCCCCAGCCTTTGCACGGTGCCATATAGCAGCCGCACCGATAACCTGCCATTTCTTAGTAGGCAACATTTCAGAAGGGAACTCTGGTGGCCCAGTGATAAGAAGCTGTGCTGCAATGCTAAAGGCACGTGGTTTGAATCCACCAGCTACTCCACAGGAGAAGGATGGGCAGTCTCCTCCTGTTTAGTTAACTGCCTCTGAAAACATGCTGGAGGGTCAGCTGTGGCTTGGTTCTGATAGCGGTACGCAACAACTTGTGTTCTTCCCACTCTTCTCTTTTGCTTCACTAGACCCTTTGAGATGGAGCTTTGGTGGTCCTTCTCGAGGAAATCTTCCCTTATCCTCCAACCAGCACAGCGTTCTGCTATTCTGTCTCGTAGCACATTTCCTGACCGTACACACACGCCATCTTCCAACTCCGTTCTCACCCAGGCGTGTCTGTAACATGCACAAGAGAGCATGTGAACAAGCTTACTCTCCAAGGTGGGGCCTTTCCAATCCATCTGTGTTTCCATCGCACTCTGCAGGGTCTAGCATGCCTCAGTATACATTTGATGAATAGGTGAAAGGATAGAGGGAGGGAGTGTGTTTAAATAGCCTTAAGAACAGGGGTCAGTAGATGAGCCCAGTGGTTCTGAGTCTGTGCTGTGCATCAGGATCACCCAGCAGGCTCATTAAAGGGCAGGCTGTTGGCTCGAAAGTGATCGTGCGATGATAGTGCTGCTAGGCCAGGAAGTAGATCCGAGAACAGTCACTCTAGACCACCGTTTGGTCCTCAGCCTCTATTATAAAAACCAGGAAAACACGTCCATGCTCCCCTTTTCTAGTGGCCCAGCTTTCATTCAGTAGAGAGTCCTAGAAGCTAGCTGTGTACCAGGCGCTGGGAAGGATATGACAGAGTTACAGGGATTCCTGCTCTCAGGGCACTTACTGGCTTTGGTGAAGAGGGAAGGTCTTAGAAAACAGGTGCACCATGGTAAGTGTGCCTGTGGACTCAGAGCTGGAGGAGGGGGCCAGAGCCAAAGCTCCAGAGGGATTAGAAGGAGGCTGCCTCCAGAGAAGACTCATTCTCAACAGAGCAGAGGCTACAGGCGTGAATAAGGACAGCATAGAATGGAGGAGGAAGAGAGCAAGGTCTGGGGGACGTAGAGTGTGGCAGGTGAGACACCTGGACACAGCTGAAGTGAATGCTGGAGGGGCAGTTAGTAGATATCAAAGGTGATGGGGATGGTGTTACTGAGAACTCCTGGGATATCTATCCCCTCAACTCCAGGTGTTCTTCCTTTCACGATTCTTTTTAAAAATAATTTTCGATTCATAGGAAAATTAGACACAATGCTATCAAGTCACTTCTAACTTATTCCAACCCTGTTAGCAGTACAATCAGTACGCTTGGTACCAGCAATCAGGAGGTTAGGAGACATATTTCACTGGGCAAGTCTACAGTCCGGGACCTCTCCAAATTACTGAGGACTTAGGTACACTCGATTCAGGCCATGATCTTTTCAGTCACATGCTGTGCTACTGAGAGCTGGACAGTGAGCAAGGAGGAGAGAAGAAGAATTGATGCCTTTGAGTTGTGGTGTTGGAGAAGAGTTCTGAATATCCTATGGACTGCCAAAAGAACAAACAGTATGTCCTAGAAAGGATCCAGCCGGAGTCCTCCTTGAAGGCAAAGATGAAGCTTAATCTCACATTGTGGTTTGGAGGAGGAAGTGCAACTAGAATGCTCCTCAGAGGCAAGGATGGTGAGACGCCTCACAGACTTTGCACCGGTTCTTGGAAAAAGGCATCATCATGCTGGGAAAGGTAGAGAGTCAGCAGAGAGGAAGACCCTCAGCAAGGTGGATTGATGCGGTGACTGCCACAGTGAGCTTGAGCGCGATGGGTTTCATGGTGATGTTAGGGACAGTTCAGATCGTCACAATTCATAGGATCAGCACAGTCTGCTTAGTGGCACTTAACACGAGTAGCTAATGACGTTGACCATCTTTTCATGTGTTTATTTGCCATCTTTGTGTTATAGTCAGTAAAATACCAGTGCATATCTTGCCCTTTCTGTAACTGGATTTCATGTCTGAGAGTTCTTTGTATAGTCTGGATACAAGCCCATTGTTGGATTTGTGATGTGCAGGTATTTTCTTTTGATACTGCATTTGTGTTTTTACCCTTTAAACAGGCTCTTTTACAAAGTTTTGTGTTAGATGACACTAAAATGATTTTTTTAAAACTTTTATGAATGTTAAGACCTAGATCTCAAAGGCTTTCTACTGTCTTTTTCTCCTAGAAGTTGTATAATTTTGGGCGCGGGGGGTTGTGAATCCACCAGCTGGTCTGCAGGAAATAGATGGCTAATCAAGATTTATAGTCTTAGAAACCCAGTGAAAGGTCACAGTCAGAACTAACTTGATGGTGGTAGGTATTATCTTTTTATTGATTTTATACTCACCTCTACCTCCCTTCTCACCTGCATAATCATTCAAAGATGTTTATTTCTGTACAGTTTTCTTTAGCTTTTTATAGTAATGGACTCAATGTTAGTCTTTTTGTGACTTATTTCATTAAGAATAATGCCTTTCATATTTGTCCATGTGCTTTTTCTTCATTCTTCGTTGGCTTAGCCTTCTGTAGTTTATTTCTCCATTCATCCATTGATGGACACTTGGATTGTTTCTGTCTCTTTGCTGTAGTAAATAATGCTGAGTGAACGTGGCTATGCATATATGTGTTCATGCTTTCAGGATATGTACCTGGCAGTGGAATTGCTGGGTCAGATGATATTTCTATTTCCAGAAGTTATATTTTATAACTTATGATCCATTTTCTAATGTATGATCCATTTTCTGTTTGATCCTTCAAGGTAATTTTTATGTAAAGGGTGAGGCTGAAGTTAAAGTTTCTTTTTCTGCTTCTGGATATCTGCTTGTTCCAACACTTGTCTCATTGAAAAGACCATCCCTTCTCCATGTCTCAGCATTTCTTTTTTTATCACCATCAACAATTGGGCTCTGAATTTTGCAGTCATCTGCCTGCCCTGAGAGTCCCAGGAGAGAGTAGAGGCTGTTCCAGTGATTTGGCCTCAGCTCCGTTCTCTTTTTCTTGCTATAAAGTTGTCCTGTGCATATCTGCGCCCTTGTGACCCCAAGCCAGGCATTCTTGCTCAGCCAGGGATTTTGTTCCCTTTGGGATTCCTGTCTTCTTCAGCAGGTCTCCAGCTTTTAGGATTTCAGAGTCCCTCTTTTCACTAACTTTTTTATTGTACTTTGAAAATTTATAGAGCAGTTAGTTTTCCATTTAGTCGTTCATATAATTCATTAACTACTGTCTCCCACATAATAATTCTTCCTACCTCTTTCCTGTGATTCTCTTTTCCCCGTCCTCTTTTTATCATATGCATTCGTTCCTTCTGAGCTTGCATCCTGGGTAAATACTGCCCTTAAATCAGTAAATACTGATCTTAAATGATTAATTAAGCTAGGGTGTGGATACCTCCCTGGGCTAACTATTCACCTTATAATCATTGCTATTTGGCTGAAAGTTGAGCCACAGGGGAAAGGCCCTCCTTGGTAGGCCTGTCTCATGTCACATCTTAACATTTACTGGGAAGTGCATTGACACATGGTGACTAAGAGTTCAAAACAAGGCCCTGCTCCTTACCTGTCCTGCAAGCTCACTTGAGGGACTTCACCTCCCTCCACTTCAGTTTTCCCACATTAAAACGTCTGTCTTTGAGTGCTGCTTTAAAGACTGAAGGGAATAAACCGTATAGAGAAGCCCTTAGAACTGTGCCTAGTAGGTAATAAGTGTTTTAAAAGGGTTATAAATGTGATTATAATAGAGTACCAGGACCTGGCTGGCAGCTGGGACACAGAGGCCAGCAGACACTGTCCCTACCCTTAGGATGTTTGCACCTTTGTGTACAAGATGAGCATACTACCACAGAGTACAGTGTGTTAGGATGGAGACGTGTGCTGGCTTAGGAAATCTGCAGGGCTGGACCGTGAACGGCCATTCACCTATCAGGCCATTATCGAGTGGCCTCCTTCTGTTTCCTTTTTATCATTCTACAAAGATCAGTTAGGAATCATTTGGTAGCAAATAACAGAAACTCTAAATCAGACATTAAGGGGAATGGTATACAGAGGCAGGGCAGCTCTGGGGCTGGTGAATTCTGCAGTGCAGGAATATACTCAGGGACCCGCTGTACTCATGGTCCCATGATGGCTGCTGTGGCCTCACGCAAAATCGGTGCCCAGTGCCCTCAGGAGATAAAAACAGCTTCTCCTTTGTTTCTCAGTGTGAAGAAAACTTCCCTAGAACTGGGTCACCTTGACCAACCCCTTTTTGTGTTGCATTGGACACTCCCATACCTGTCTTGGAGCATTAGGATTAGCTCAAGTCATCTGGACTCCACCATCAGACAAAGAAGATGGCTCTGCCTTTAACCCACCCATCCTGTAATTTGCTTGGCCGTTGTCCAGTCAGTCAGTGAAGGGGACTGACCCAGCAGGCCGAGCTCTGCCACACGTGAGGCTGTTGCCCACGTTCAGCCTCTACAGCGGAACAGGGAGTTCACACCAGCGTGGTAGCCAGACCTTGGACTGCTCAGGATCCATCTTGAAGATGTCAGAACTACAGCTGGTTTGACACCGAGACGCCACACACTTTATCTGTCAAGTGATGTTAACCTTCCAAGGAAAGAATTAGGCATTACTTGATGTTTTTTTAAATGAACCTAAAGCTAAAGAAGGGCATTTGATCTTTTGTTCAGTAATGCTTGCCTAGAAATATCCATAGTGAGATGCTGAAAAGTCCCTACTTAGAGTAAACTTGACCAAAATTGACAGTAATAGTGATGATCCCAAATGGGACACAGTGGGCCTTGCTCGGCCAATTTGTACTAGAGCATAAGAAGGCGGTTAGCAAGATAATGACATGATTGGTAAAGAGCAGTGTGTCTTGACCTGGGACGGTAGCTGACAGGTTTTTGTTGCTGGGTGCCCTCGAGTCAATTTGGACTCCTAACGAATGCCGTGTAGCAGACGGAGCTGCTCCGGATGATGTCCTTGGCTGGCTCAAGCACATCTGTTTTGGGGAAAGTACAGCCAGAGTGCTCCTCAGATGTGAGGTGAAGGAGGTGAAACTCCATCTCACACACTTTGAACATGTTATCCAGAGGCCAGTCCCTAGAAAAAGACATGGAGCAGAGAAGGAGAGGAATACCTGCAGCAAGATCAGGTGACACCGAGACTGCAGCAGTGGCCGTGAGCACATCAGAGGATGAGGGTGGCACAGGGCTGGGCAGGGTTTCATTGTGGGGCACATAGAGACTCTCTACGTGCCGCTGTGAGCACCTGACAAGTCTTTACAGGCCTTCTTTCTCCCTTGGTGACATTGGATCTTTCCCCTATGATGTCTCTGGGTAGGTTCAAACCACCAAGCCTTTGGTTATTCCAGTGCTTAACCATGGAACTACCAGGGCTTCTGAGGCTGAGAGGTAAAATAGGTATCAGTAAAAACAGTGCCGAGAAGCCCCAGTGGCACAGTAGATTAAGCATTATACTACGGACCAAAAGGTCAACAATTTAATCCACAGACTGCGTCACAAAAGAAAGATGAAGCTGTCTTCTCCTGTTAGGATTTACAATCTTGGAACCCTGATTCCTTGAGTCAGAAGTGACTTGACAGCAGTGGTGTTTGGATTTGGTTTAGCTGTATATTCTAGAAGTAGTGGCTTTGTCCTATTGCCCACATTGTCAGGGGCCCAGGCTCCTCTCCTCTCATTCAATGACTCCTGCATGTTGCCTTCTGCTGGACGAAGAGGATGATGGAGCAAAGCTCATTTGCTAGAGCCATAGGAGAGTCTAAGAAATCAGCCTGTTAACAGGTCTCAGTGCAGCCATGGTTACCAAGGAGAAGGACAGGATTGATATTAAAGATACTGGTACATCTGCCGCTCGTACCTTCCTCTTCTTTCCACTGACCTCTACCGCCTCTGCTGCTATTTTAAAACAGACATTTTTTTAAAAACTAAACACGTCAACATGTCCATTCCCATTTTACCAGGTGGCAGGAGGAGTGACAGGTCAACTAAACAAAACTGCCTTACTCAAAATCCTAAACATGCCAGATACTGAGATCTCAGTTTTGGAGGAAACTAGTAATACATTTCCTTCCTTCCTTCCTTCCTTCCTTCCTTCCTTCCTTCCTTCCTTCCTTCCTTCCTTCCTT